CCACCCACCTGCCCTTTTTTCTGCCCAGCAGGTTACTGTTCATTTAACTGTTTATAACTCTTGTGAAGGCTGCATCCTTTATAAGTAGTTTTGTAACAGTAACAAATAAATATTGAATAATGATGTAGTAAGGAAATTGGAGATTTGAGATGATACATGGACTGAATAATCACTTTGGATCGCTGAAAGTTCGTTTCCCGAATACAATAATTCGTCCCTTAAAGCCTTGGGTATCATGAATTTCGTATTTGGGATAATCCAAAATGAATACTCTAACCTTAAAAATCGAGTGTATATGAGAAATCGACTGTTACGAGGGGTTAAAACGGTTAAGACATAACTGCATGGCGGTTACAATCATTAACAAATAAGATCTGAGAGCAGCTACAACTGTCTCAGGATCAGAAGCAACGTCAGAAGGGTTATAGAGCTCTGATCATATGGACCAAGAGACCCTGAAGGTCTAGAGGCTCTGACTATAAGGACCAGTGGCTCTCATCCTCGATACTTAGGAATTAGGCTCTCCCCCTTGGACCACGCAAGGGGTGCAGCCCCCTTGACTCCCGGCTTATGACGATCTAAGGTGATAGAAGCAACATTTGTGAGTGCACTCTGCACTTCATAACTCACTTATGTTTGCCTTATCATAAGGTTGATCTCACGTAAATCATAATCACACTAAAATCACAAATAGATGTGAACCCCTCCTCATCAGCAGCAAGTTGAGTCCCATTAATCTTTATAATGGTGAAACCTCTAATGCTTCCTAAGTACCACCACTCTTAATTTGCTGATTTGTTATGGACATCTACTGAACCACAATGTCATGAGTGTGTTGCACTCCAGAGAATGTTGTGACCAAAGTCATTTATGCATTTAAGCAATCAAATTTTTGATAGTGTAGTTTCTGAAAATAAGTTCCTTTTGATGTATATAACCCAAACAGAAAAGAAGATGGACGAAGCTCCAAAGAAAAACATGTGTGCATGTACCATATTGTGAGAAGTTATTGAGTTTGTTTGTTCAAATTCATCCGGCGGACGTCGTCGGAATTCCAGTGGGGAAAATAATGTGTAAACAGTGCCATACCAAATTATTGCATTGTTTGGTGGAGGCTAGGCCAGGGGGACATCATCACATTCTTGTTTCGTATGTGTAGTGTGTTTTTATGTAAAATTTGTTGCTTTTAAGGTGTAAAGTAAATTTGTAGCTTCGGCTTCAGTGAATACAACTCCTCCCTCAAGATGCTTCGATTCTCTATGTTTTACCATTTATCTATCAAAGTTGGACATGTTCTTGTAAGACCCAATATCTGAAAAACCAGATTTGGTATGCCTTTTTTTCAATTACTACTTGGGACAATTGCATGAACTGGAGGTTTCAAATATGGTCTTGTGGGGTTAGTTCCACTGGTAATAAGGATTGGGTTTTTGTGGATCCTCCTCAGAGATTACCGGTTCGAGTCCTGCAAGGCCGCCACTGAGGATTTCCCTGGCTGTTCTCTAGCACAGAGCAGGGTCCTTGGGATTAGTTGAGCGTGTAAGCTTGTCCGGACACCTATGGTTAACAAGAAACAGTATGGCCGTGTACTTGTATCGGTTGCCCTCATAGGTTGTGAATTTGGATTTTTGCAGCGAAAACGACAATTCTTGTTCGTGGTATCCATTTTCTTGAGGAAGTTTCAGAACCAACTTCAACCACTGATTTTTTTTTTTGATCGGAAATTCTCAAGCCGGCCAACACTACCCTATTCTGAGAGTATGTGGGAGGCAAATCTACATAAGGGCATGCTAGATGGCTGGCTTAAGAGCCCATTGCTCACAAAAAGCCTAATCTCCGAAGGATTGTGACATAATGTTGCAGCTGCTAGCTAGACTCGAACCCTAGTCGGGTTTCTACAAACATACCACCCTAGAATCAACTATGTTAGTGTCGGCGGTTCTTCTCTTGAAGTTTCCACTCAAACTCTAAGAAGTGGAGTTGTGTTGGTGCGCTTGGTTCTTTTTCCTCAAACGAGGGTACTCTAAACCAACAATAAGTATAGCTTTTAGGATTATGATCAGAAATCTGTCGGTACCCGCCAATGGTTACTTCAAGAACGGTAACGATGAGCTCTTTAGATGTAATAAAAAAAAGGAATGAGTCCAGTTCAAGTTCCAGACGGTGTTATCAAAAACAAATTGTCAAGGACAAATATCATTCTCCAATATGGATGATGGACAAAAATCGTTTATGTAGAAGTGTTAGAATTGCTAAAGAACCAATAAATTATTCTCTTATGGTTATGGAAATTACTATTCAATGTCAGAAGATGTTTAGGATCAACATGAAAGGAAAGATGGGCCAATGGGTAATTATCACAACAAGACCAATAATTCAAGAAATAGACATCCGTGCCATGATAGAATTAACAGTTTTTCTGCTGCAACAACTTTTTGGATGGTTATGAGGAAGATGATGCTTTGGATACTCCGACATTAAGGATTGATTGACACTGCCGAACAATTGCTTAGATCCTTTAGAAGACATTTGCCTTTTTGTGTTCGGTGCGTTTGGAATGCAAATATAACAAGACAGAATTGTTGTTTATCGTTTGGTAAGTCAGAACAAATAAAATGACCAATCTGTCCATAATGATTTTTTTAATAATATTTTGATTAATTTATGTAATTTATTAAATTATAATAAAAATAAATATTTTTTATAACAAAATTTATATCATTAGAAAGTTTTCGTCTAGACAATTAAAATGACATATAAATATAGAGTTTATATAGTTTCCAATTTCCATTTTATACTTTTTCTATGTTATTTTTTACTATTAATATTTAATAAATTACATAAATTAATCAAAATATAGAAAACATATAAAAATAGTATTTGAGAATAGTAAAATAAAAGTTTAAAGAGCATAAAATATAATAAATAAATTTTAAAGAATAAATAAAATGTAAAGTATACATCTTTGATGTTTTAGGATATAATATGTTTTATTTTGAAGTTATATTCGTAAATATAGGTTTATTCCACCTTATTTCATAAGATAAATGTGGAATAGACCTATTAACTCTGTCTATTCCACATAAAAGTAGTACTAAAAATAGACCAGTGATTCCTGTATTATTCTGTCATGTCTATTGTGCCAAATTCACCCTTACATAACACAGTTTTGTACCAGCCGAGGTTCAGTTATTGTAGTTGTTTGGAACTCCACCTAGAAGAAAAACAAGAAATAAAGTGAAAAGGCATGAGCCAACTGAACATTCCAGCTCCAAATAAACACAAACGAACACATGGATATCTGTTTCACTCTGAGACTTGGAACATATAACTGGTTTGGCTAACGTTTCTTAACCACTAACATCGTTACTTTCGATCTATCTACTTGGTTGAACAGCAATTCAAAGGTTATACCGACAATAATCAACATAAGTAGAAAAGGAGTAGTGACCACATAATTCCTACAAGCATTTGTGGTCACTTGACTTTGGAATGTTCCACTCCTTAACTGTGGAAATCGATCTCTGCTTCAAATATTGCTGTCGTAATACGATCCTTAAATATGGATAACGCCAAGGAGTAATAATGAATTGGCAGATTCCTTTGCCTAACCACACTTGCTTAGACAACCAACTCCTTCCTCCAGATAATCTTGTCTGCTAATCCAAAATTCAGGTGCATCCTGCAACAATTCATTTCGCATTTCAGTAATTAATCACCTAAATTCCCACCAAAACAATATGTAAAAAAAAACGAGAGCTAATCACTACCATGTATGTAACATCCCACACCAACCGTACCATATATTCTCCGTTTTGTCCACACACTTGAACTCATGGTTTTAAAACGCGTCTGGTATCCAATCCCTTATAAGGCAACCTTAGTTCACCTCCCCATCTAATGTGGGATCTTACAGTCTAGACGAGGCATCGTGTGAGTATAAGAGTTATTGGTGAGAATGGTTCACTTTCTCACCATAACCTCCTTCTCACCAAGACTCAACCCCTAGCATCTATTGCGTAATTATGCACACAGGCAGGCCAATATACTATGCGTTGCACCATCTTTCCATGTTGCTTAAAATGTCCTTTCTTGGTCGATAGTTTAAAATCAAACCAACAATGACCCGATGATATATAACCAAAATAAATTAAGGCAATCCAGATACTCTTTCATAAGATGAAATATTTGCATACCAGCCTAAAGTATTTTTTTGATATTAGTATGAAACTACCTGAAGTCCAAAATTAGAGACTCCCTTAGAATGCAATTGATCTTAGTGTTGAAGATTAAGGACTTCATAATTGGGCAGTCCTCTGAAAACAGTTTAATACGGTACTTTTCTTATGCTCTACAAGTCTATCGAAACTAAGGGGCTATTTGGTTGGTTTTCATCAAGTCCTGTGTTAAAAAAGTTTTGTGTGGATTGATCTGTCTGTGAAGATTGGGACAGTTTTTGTTTGATAGGGTTTTTTCATAGATGGAAGGAGCGTGTTTTTTAACTTGGAGGGGCAGGTTTGAAAAAAACTTCGCTTTCAGCATAAAGCTCCCAAATAGAAGCTTTATGAATAAGCCATTTTCTATATCATTAAGTCACTACTAAACAGTCATGTATAGTTGACCGAATAAGCTTTTAGTCTCATTAAGCTGCTAACAAGCAGGCCCTAAGTCAGTTTTGGTTCCTAAACGTCCTTTTTTCCCAATCAAAGCCTAATGTGTATGGGGATTTATTAATGAAGTGAATTCTAAACGTGGTACAAATTACTGAAGTTATCAACAAAACAAAGTATAGAGATAAAAGCAAGGCCTGGAGAGGATCTAAATGTTGAAATCTTAAGAGTGCCTAGTGCTTTTTCCTACAGACTTGGGATCAATGGAAATAGAAAGACCTTCATGATTCCTGCAAGTACCGCTCCCCCAAGGTACACCATATGCTTCCTTCGTGGTGGATCTTCAATGCGCAACCGCAATTTCTGTATTGGGAATAAATAGAAAAGATGAGATGAGACTTGGGAAATAAAAGGCTTCAAATTGGATTTTCATCCCCAATAAAAAAGTAAAACCTCAATTTCCATGCTGGTATTGGTTAGACGAACATTCTTAGAATGATTTTGAGAACAAAAGAAAGATAACAAAGGTTGGATGTTGATCCCGTTCAAGGACCAGTAGATGAAATGTGTGTGTTCACAGAAATTATGAGCAAGTGAATTTCAGGTATTACCTTCAATCCAACTTTGTTGCCTTTCAAGACAACTTCAAGATAACGATCTAAGATTTCTCTCTCTAGCCTGTACAAAAATACCACTCCAGTAAGCCCTTGAATGAAACAACTAATCATGAACTCTAACAAAGAAGCAAAAGATGTCGTAATTGTATATAATATGATGCACTTGGTCCAATTCTAAGGCGGAAAGGTTCTCTATTGTGATGTAAAACAGCTCCATGTGGTGGTTTCTTAAAGTGTTTAGAGAATATCCTGATTCCATAAAGATTCTAAAAAGTTAGACCAGAAATAATAAGAAGAAAGGAATAATCTAAAATAGTTTAGCTCTAAAGCGAAGAGGATGCTGATGTACTACCGACTAGGTAATCCTGGATACATTGTGCTCCCTCCACTCAAAACTATATGCTGGTAGAGCTGCAAAATATAAAAATAATCAGAGTAAAAAACCAAGCAATTTCACTATGTGACATGAAATTGGCATAAGAAAGATAGAATATTTTATTGGTACACAAGCAAATTATGGCAAATATATCACTTTGTTGCAGATCCTATATATATTGATAGGCAAGAATCAAGATCTTAATCTGTAGACTGAAGTTACAACTCCAAAATCATGAAGAGTTTTTTCTTTCTCTTCTTTCCTCATTTTGTGGGTTGGTGTGGCAACGAGAGAAATAAGAACCATAAGCTCTAAGGGCGAGATATATGTATCAATTCTATGAGCAACGATTGAACTGAACATACAACTGTCAAAAAGTGACTGTTCATTGGAACCGTTATAGTCCAAATACTCATGACGTTGGATAGATGCCTGTCTCCCCCAAACCATACTAACTCCCGAAGTCAAACATCTGACCTTGCTCAAGAAAGAAACCTTATCATGAAAAAATCACTTTGGTCCAATCTACTAATGCCTTTCTAGGAAGGGTGATTATAATTTGGTCACACGTCAAACTATAAAGTAACTTTCTATATAATAATCATAGGTGATTGAATATGCTTTAAAAATGTTACCATCATACGGTTGTCAATATCCATTTCCTGAATACAGTGGAATACCATGTCAGCAATTCCATCACCTTCGACATCTATGAGTTCCTGCAAGGGGAAGCATACATTAACTTTCTTGCTTTCCACATCATTATAACTAATTGGTGTTAGTGGAAATGGTGGATTTGATACTCATAATGATGGTAGCCATTTTGGTGGTGGTGGTGGTGGTGATGATGGTGATGGTGATGGTGATGGAGATAATGACAATAACAATAATGTTGCTAGTAGTAAAAAGATGTTCTGAAATTTAAGTATAAAAGTTGCATATGCAGTAAACAAGAGCATAAAGCAGAAAAATAATTGTCCAAACCATCCTAAATACACATTTTCATCTTGCAAAACCTACAAGCAGTGCATGTAAGAGAACACATACAAGGGTATGTCACTGTATCTAGTATGAAGAGAAAGATGGTGAAAACCAAATGGAGTAAATTAAGAAATTAAAGTCAAAGCATACAACTCACCGGAGTAAAAAGAGCTTCTGGGGCCTGAAAGCGTTCAGTACCAACTTTGATAACCCTTCCATCTGGCAGCTGATGCAATTTAACATCCTCAATAAAATGTGTACTTCCTCGATATGAACTATGCTAACCTCCCATCGGGGAAAAAGTAATCTAACTAGAGTACACGTGTACTGGGAAAGTGTCTTAAGATCAAACACTTGTATATAAATGTCTCCATCAGAACTTGTATGCTTCAGAATTAACAATGGTCCTACATTAAGACTGTCCAGAAAAACACAATTTAGAGATAACTTACAGTATAATTTTTAACGAGGATGGTGGTCTCAAGTCCTAGTTGATATTCTCTTTTATAATCATAACTGCAAAACACAGAATGATCAATGTTTCATATTGCAAGTTCAAATAAGAGTCATGAAAGCATGTGAATTCACATAAGTACCTAATGTAGCACAGCTTCTCTTTGATATCTCTAACAGTCTCGAAATCAGCACTCTTATTCATTGCATAACTTCAGATGTGATAAAATAGTACTTGAGTCTCAACAAAGATACAAGCATAATTATTAGTAATATAACACCTTTGGAGGGTCATATCGAGACTCACCCCCTCCTAAGCAGTAAATCAACAAGATATGATGTTATGTGGCGTCCAGCAACATTCATACGCTTTGTAAGATGAGGGAATGAGTAGCCATCTACAACGGGAACCTGGAGAAACACATCAAGTAGTAAAAAAAATATCCACACTGTGTGTCTCTTATAATATTAGTAATCTCAACTATTGAAGTCAGTCGAAATGTTGAACAACAGGAATATCAGTATATATAGACCAGAAAAGCATGTTGAAGATATTGAAATCTTTTACTTCTGGACTACAGATATCGAATGATGTAAGTTGCTACTTTAGGTTTCACTACGAGTAGATATTGATGTTTTCTAGAGCAAAATTTGGCAAAACAAGGTGTAAGGATGTATGAGGGCAACAACCGTATTCCAGTTAAGAGATGTCAGGTGCAGCATAGGGAAATTTCTATGTTATGAAGGCATCATGTTTGCAGCGTAGAAAACCATCACTCCAAAAATTAATACATCCTAATGTTCTGGTCCCTGCCTACAATGCATACATGTACATATTTCTTCTCCATGGTTCCCATGACATCTTTACCATATTAAGCAAAGCAACATTAAATATTTGGCAAGAGCAGAAAATTACTCAAAGTTAAAAGATGATTGTTATCTGTGTTGTTTCAATCTGTTGAACAGGATTCACAGATGTGTTAGGTTTCTGCAGTAGGGTTTCATGTAACATATGTTGAGTGCTTGTTATGTTGGAAGCACTGAGCAGTAATGATTGTTGCATTGCTTACCACATGAGTGACACCATCGCCAGCGTCAATGACTAATCCAGTAAGTAAACCTGTTCCGCCATAATATTAAGGTTAGATGAATAATATTTATTTAATTCTCAAATTCTTCAAGTAATTTCAAAAGGCATCAAATATAAACTTTAGAAAGAGGGGTTACTTTAAACATGAATCTCAATGAAAGACAAGACATGGATAGCTGTCACTGAAGGTTGTAGTTCAAGTAAAATCCATGCCATATCAATTAGAGGAAGCAAAATTCAAGTCTTATAACCTTTACCCTATAAGCACCTTGAGCATACAATGTTAAAACAGCTTGTATCTGGATGAAGACACCAGCAAAATTGTACTTCTCAAACATAGTCTCAACCTAAAAATCAAGGTTAATCCCAAATTAAGTTTGTATACTGCATTTAAGAACAATAGTATTCCTTGAGAGCCGTAAATCGAAAGCCACTTTATAAGCAGATTGTTAGTACAAACCATTTTTTCCCTGTTTCTTGAAGGATTGAGAGGCGGATCTGTGAGCAAAATGTTACATTCTGATGGATCAACCTGCCAAAAGAAAATATGGATGACCTATGACAACAGGCAGCAGGTGCTAAAACTTTGAGTTCTCGGACAACATAGCAAAAGGCAGCAGGCACTCACCTTGAGTTCATTATAGAAAGCATGATCCCAAACATGACCCATGTCATCCCACCTTTGCACAATGCCGTTGTTAACGGGATAAGATATATCTAGTTGATGCCTCAAATTCAAACAGGTTTCACCAACAACAATGTCCTGTATGAACCGGTGGACAAAGAAACATTTCCATGATGAAAGATCAATTGATAAACAGCTATAACAGTAAAACAAGGGGCTATCACTGGTTGAATGAATCAAAGCACTTGTATATTCATCAGACATTTGTATGTATTATGGGGAAAGCTTAACACCTCAACGAACATTCTCTAAGTGATTTTCTGCTCTAAATTTATCCAACAATAAAGTAGCAGCATAATAACATGAACCAGACCACAGAAGTTCTGGTTGAGAAGAGAAGTATATTCACCTTCAACTCTTGTTCCAGTAGAGTTTCTTCGTATCTCAACATCGGCCTACCCACCACACAAGGAAATACCGATGTCGGAAAATTCTCTCCAGCAAAACCACACTTGACATACTGCATTGAAATTTAGCAATTTTAGAATCACAAAAATTGATACATATTTCCATCTTTACTTCCTTCGACACAAGAGACTTCTTAAAATTAGTGATGTACTTCCTATTCATGTCAATGCTTATTAATTCAATCACTAAAAACTGGTAAGATTTTGAAGCTTAAACTGCTCTCGTCTGAATGAAAAGTAACAAAAATATAAGAAAAACAGATTCAATAAGCAAATTTTCAACAATCGACTTTGTAAATAACGTGACTACAGTAATTTCCGACGATTAGATCGAGATCAACAAAAAATGCTTAATTGACGAGCTGATTCGCTTACACCAGTGCCATTGTCGCAAACGATGACCTTCTTGCTGTCCATTTTACAGCGCTTTAACTGAAAGGACCAACAGCAACAACGATGGATCTACTTCTTCAATCAGGATTAGGAATTAAGATGACGACGATGTGAGCATGAAAACCTTCAACAGCGATCGAGTTAAATGATCATTTGTGTTTGTTACTAATTTGCTTTGGTTTGCGTATAAACTGAGTCTGTGAGGTAAGAGAAGAGGGTTGGTGACGCTGCGTAGAATGAAAACCCGCCCAACTCCTCAACCGGGTCTACCGTTTTGCTCCAACCACTTTTTGTACCCAAACGGGGCGAGGCATGAGTCTTCGGCTATCTTTAGGTCACAAGATAGCCGATGGTTAATAACAAGTTGTTTTATAAGCTAGTTGGTAATTGATAAATTAAATACTGAATTATTTTTAATAAAAATGGTTGATAAAAATATAAAAAAATTTAAAAAAACATATTGAAAAATTAATTAATTATAATACTTCAAGGTATATTTGAAATAAATATTTAATAGTATAAAATAATAATAATACAAACAAGTTGGTAAAAAAGATAGAAAAAAATAATATATTGATTAAAAGAATTTCAAATTGATTATTATATGTATATATATAATATTTGGATTTGTTAAAAAAAATTATTATTTATAATTTTAAATTATCATTACATATAATCTATACTATATTATAAATTATTTGAAAAAAAACTCTTAAAAACCATTTTTTATGCATGAACTTGATACATATTACTTAAAATTTCAAGATTACAAGTAAATTATGCACAAGTACAACTTATTAAAGCTCCATGTTTGAATTCGTGTAACTAACTGCGTATAAACATGATCAAATAGAGGATAAACATTTCATTGTAAAATATAAAAAAATTTAAAATATAATTAGAATAATTATCGAGTTCTAACAAAATAATTAATTATTATCATTATAAAAAAATTATATTATTAAACCAAATATAAATGACTTATTTGTTGAACCTAAATTAAATTTAATAAAAAAATGAATTAAAAATTACACAAAAGGAATTTTAAATAGTTAATTTGATACTAATATCGATATATTTTTGTCAAAATTTTATGAAATCTTCAAATTTATATTTTATTAAAAAATAAAAACATTATCGTTTTTTCAAAATCACATAAGACCATATTATTATATCGACTGAGATAAAAAATAAAATGAAATATTAAATCAAGATGTATTTCGCTGCATTGCGCGAGTATCGTTCTAGTATGAATAAAAATAAAATTGTATATTTCACATTAGGGGTGCTCAAAAAACCCGATCAACCTAACTCAATCCAACACGAAATAACTCAACCAGAAACAACCCGATGTCTAATCGAGTTGTAAAATTGTCATACCGTAGGTATTTGGTTAATATTGAGTTACTATTATTTGAACTCAACATAACCCAACCCGATAAACCCGATATTCTTCTATTTCTTGAATTTAATATGATTGTTAAATTTCTATTAATATATACATTAGACAATTACACTATCATGTATGCTCTTCATACACATATTTTCAATCTATTCACATCTTTATATAACACATTCGTATATATGTTCAGTAACTGTGAATATATATATATATATATATATGTGTGTGTGTGTGTGTGTGTGTAAATTGAGAAAATTAATTGAATGTGATATACATAAGAAGTATGGATAAGTTGTATCAAATGGTTGATGATGCAAAAGAAATTGTGAGTAGAGAAATAACACATTATAGGTTAGAAGAATATTTTAATGTATCAAAATATCAACCCGACCAAGCTGACTAACCTTATCAACCCGTACGGGTTGGGTTGCACTTTGGTTCGGGTCGGGTTAAAAATTTTCAAACCACAAGCATTGGATTGGGTTGTTCAAATGTTTTCAACGTGATCAACCCAACCATGAGCATCCCTACTTCACATGTCCTAATTAATTAATAATTTTAAAAAATATATATTTAATAATTAAATTAAATACTTTATTTAAATTATTTGGCATATTTTTGTTACTTATAAAATAAAATAAATATAACTTTAATTTTTATATCACCTAAATATTGTTAAAATTGTTATATTTGTATTTTGATACCTAAATATAGGATAAACTACAAGTTTGGTTCCCTCTATTTTCATTAATCTTCGAAAGTGGTCCCTAGACTTCAATTACTACAATTATCATCCCTATCGTTCACACTTTGTTTTTAAAATGGTTCATATTCACTAATTCTGTTGAACTAGTTTTTCACAGTGACTCTCATCCCTTTCTCGTTCAACAACAACTATCGTCGGACTCCATGGTTATCACCATCACCTTCGATTGCTTCTACTCCTATCGATTCTCCTACCTCTTGACCTCTAAGCATTGCTAGCTTGAATAGAGTCGCCTCCAGATTATCTTCGGCACGTATTTGATTCTTCAGATTTTCTTTGTTCTCCATTTCATCATTATTTATTTTTTAGTTGTTGATTTTAGCTTATAATGATTGTTGTATGTAATGTTTGACGACGATTCTCGATACTTGGTTTTGATGATCGCATTGTTCATTTGATGTAATATTACCATTGTTGCATTTATCGATTTGTTCTCTAGCCTTCGATCTTATAATCTCTTCTTCGTTAGTTGTTTTGCTTGAAATGGATTGTCGTTTGGTTCACAATTGTGTAATCGATTTTCATTTTTTTTGGGTCTCTCATTTTTGTTTTGGATTTCATAGCGAGATGGAAAATGTTCTTGTGGAGATGTTTTGGGTAAGAAATTAGAAGTGTCACCGTATCATTTTGTTGTGTGCAATCATATATATTTTTTGAAACTACAATAATGATATAAGTTTTTATTGACGGAGTTGGTTTTCATGATTTTTCTCCCATTTCCCACCCTACGTAAGCATTGGGTTCAAATCTTGTTTGTGACAGTTTCTTAGTTCTTAACTTTTAATTATATGGATATTTTTTTGCAATAAAAACATGAACAAAGAACCTCACATATGAAAAACAAAGAACTAACCAGAAAAACAACAATGATTTTGTATGAAATATCCATATATTTGTTTCTTATAATCAAATGATGTCACCACTTTAAATAATTTCTAGCTTCGCCTCTGATACACTACAAGCTTTTTGATTCATTTAGAACCCTCTCCTAACAAAGTCCGATATTAAAACAGAATATTTCATTTTGCAAGGGTTTATATTGAGAACCTGCTACGTATTTGATACAAGTAAGGAAATATGTTATGTCCTTATGCAGTTATAGTAGCATCAGCTAATCAAATGAGAGAACCTAAGATATTCTGATAGTCGTGAGAACCGTTACGTCAAGTGTTATTTCTCATAAAAATTCCATTTAAAGCTAATACTCGAAGGCATTGATCAACATATATTTGTTTCACAATGTGAAATTCATGTGTGTTTCTGTTCACTTAAATTACATATAAAGAAGTTTCACATTCTAAAATAACTACGTGTAAAACAAACAAACGCATTATAAAATATATATGATAACCAGTACTTCAAGTTCTAATATTAAATGAATAAAAACATGTAGAAAAATACGTTAGAATACAAGTTATTAGGATTATCTCAGTATTTTATGCTTTTTATTTATTTATTATTATGCCCCTTATAAGAACATGCTATAATTTTATGATAAAAAAAAAATGAGCGTATCACAACGTAAATAAAAAAACCATTTCTTGAAATTCTTCGACTAAAGTTTTTTGTTGTAGAACGTATCTATCGTACGCTTAATATTATGAGGATCGAGGAACCACTTTGTTTCATATAGTTGATTACCGACAACTTCAATCGGTTTCACGCGGAACTCGCCTACAAGGACACCAATATGAGTAGCCAATTTTTGCTCAGTCAACTCAACGGCTGAGACTATCGAGGGCTCGGTGTTGAACCCATAATCTATCTTGTATTTGGGCAAAGTCACTCTACCCGTTTGTCAACTGAGCTACACATTAGAAACACCTATTTCATATAGTATTCATGATGAATATTATTTATCATAAATATGTCCCGATATTCAATATGAATACTACATAAAATAAGTGTTCCATCAGTTTTCAATATATTTATAAATATTAATGTTTTTTTCAAAAAGGTAAATTCATTATTTAAGGAATAAAAAGATTTCAAAGATAGAATTGATAACCTATTGAATATGCAATGTATAATTCAAATTGAACAAGGGACCACCCGTGACTCTCATTATTCGGTTCCCTACCATCATAAATGTTTAGCATGTCGATTAATCGTAGCACTCATTTATCGATCCGTAGAAGCGTTTATAGACTGATAGCAGTGTATCTACGTGTGCATAAAAACATTAACATCAATTAAGATTTTGAATCGGTGGAGTTACAAAACCTACAATCACCCATCGAAAAGGTCTTCACAATGCACGCCTAATACAAAGGATTTGCTATTTTGGCCTAATTTTGACGCTTATGGCTTCAATTCTAGATTAGCCCGGTTGTACGATATTTCTGTCTTTGATCAAATCACGTGAAATCAGAAGTTTCTTCTGACACACGCATTGTCTTGGTATTTCAGGAAGGATTTTAAATTTTGAATATATTCCACGATGGCCAAAAATAACAATATTCTTTGGTAACGTACTTGATGCACTCTTAAAGGGTCCAAATTCTGAAATGTAATATGTTTCCTTAAAAGTGTGTTTTCCTATTTTTCCTGCTATTTACCACAACGTATTTGGTATAGTCAGTCATGCGTAAATCATTACCAGGAATATGTGTATCGATATACACCTTCATTTGAAATTATTGTGTCTTGTGTAATCAGATTTAATGTACACGTCTTTCCTCCCACCTAGACAGATGAATGTGTGAGTTTGTTAGGTAGAGGCAGTGTCGTGCCGAAGGATGTACGAATGTGAGATTCCAAACAGGGCGTCCAAAAATTTCGGGTTGATTACTACAACGTATTTGGTATAGATGATGAGGAGGATTTTGTAGTTGACACGATAGGCCAAATAATTACGAAGTTTTATAATTTTTTTTTGCATGATCTTTCATCTATGTAGACTTAGAGGTAAGGTCTACATACATCTTAACCTCTCTAAACCCAACTTTTATGGGATTTACTGGGTTCGTTTGATTTCACTTTGTTCAATTGAAGTGTTAGAATCTCACATCTTTGACTATTTTCACCTCTATATAGGAACCACCCGTCTGGCCTCAAGGGCATTTTTGGAAAGTAATATGGGGTTTCATAAATTATCACATGGTATGAAACCTAAAGTCTACTACTCTAAAGACTCATTCTAGGCAATATGTACTCATCTAGCCCCCTCACCTGTCTAACCCCTCTCAACACTCATGAGAGAATCTGTGTATGTCTTAACGTCCGTTGAAGGGGGCGTGTTAGAATCTGACACTAGACTCTAACTATATATATTAGAACCTCCATTCTCTTCTCAGTATCTTTTTTTAAAACTAATCTAAAAGGGTTACACGTAATCTTACAAAAAACACTAAAAACTATAACTAGTAGAGCTACTTGCATAAAGGAAACATGGAATCCTAATTGCTAGGTGTTCAAGAATCAAATCCCTACTCATGTATCAAAACTGGTAACCAGAAACCAAGGTTTCAGGGACTGCAAATGCTGAATCGTATATCGATTTCGACACCATCTGCTGCTAAATCGAGGGCCTAACTGATTGTTTTCGCAAACAGGTTCGATCATCATTGGCTTCTCTTTCCAAAAAGAAGAAGAAGCACATATATACTTACCAAGCAAGCAACCAACCAACCAACCAACCAAAAGATGGTGCAATTTGTTAGCATTTTGCTGCTTTCAGAAGTTACCTCAAAACACACATAATATTATCAAGGGGAAGGGGTTGTATGCTTACTTCAATAAAACACACATCTGAACTCAAACAAGAAAAGTCTTAATCCTTTGGCCCTGCAAAATCAGACTGCAAGAAAACCAAATATGGTATCAAGAATGATGTATCCAAATGGAAAGCAAACTACCATATCATTTACAGAAAAGATAGAAAAAATAAGAGATGGTGTTAGAGATCACAAACCCCAAAAGCACCTGTAAATATACAACTGTTTTGATACTGATGAAGCTCTGAAACAATCTTCATCAAAATCTCCTTTTACTCTCCATTCTTTTTAGGCAAATTATACAACACAAAAGAAACCCACATAAATCCAAGATTTAGGTTTCTTTCTCCTTCCATCATATCATCTTTATTTTTGAAAAAGATTCATCTAAAAGCTCTACTAACCCTCTGAACCTTGAGAATCATCATCCTTTGAAGACTGCTGCTGTTGTTGTTGTTGTTGCTGTTGCTGATGCAATCTAGCTTGACCCATCTGGTAAATCTGATTCAAAGCTTGTTGATTCAGACCCCCAATATGATTATCTTGTGAAAGACCAAGTTCCAACCCTGGAAGCTGCTGTTGTTGTTGATGATTATGATTACCCAAAATCGAAGAAAAATACATCGGACCCAAATTAGAACCCGGCAAATCAAACCCAGAAAACGCAATTTTCTGCAAGTAATTGGAGCTTTCGGTTCCTAAATTGTTAGCAGATGGACCAGACGACGGCGATGGCGATTGAAACCCGAATCCGGTTGTGGGTATGGCGGGCCATATACCTGGAGGTGTAGCCATGTGATTTGTGGGTCTACCTACCCCCAAATTCCCACCAACTAATGGCCAATTGGTCCTACTTTCGTCGATTTTGTGTTGCAATCCTGCTGAAATTGAAACACCATGTGAAGATGCAGCACCGGCTGCTCCCATGGCGGAAGCAGGGATGGTCCCGGTACCCGTGGCAGCGATAATGGACGGCTCCGCCTGCTGTAACAACCACTGAATCGTTTCACCATCGGATTTATGACCTAATTCTCTCGTGAGTTGAAAAATTCTAGCCGCACAAAGTGCAGGCATCCTTATCCGACGACCACGACCTTCAACTTTGGTGTGCCGGTCTTTGTTTGAACTCCGTTTGACTGATAATTGTTGTTGCTTTTTGTTACCACCGCCGCCGCCGGCGGGGTCTTCTTTATCGGCGATTACAATTTGAAAATCCTTGATCTCGGACGATGATGACGACTTGGGGTTATCGGCCATGGTGGTTGTCGGTTGTGGGAGGGTTAAGAAACTTGAAATTTGGTGTGGCTGCTGCTGAGGACGATGATGATGATGGTGGTGGTGGTCTGAGGTCTTGGGATCCATGAAAACTGAGTTGGGTGTTGGATAGATATTGTATTAAATGATGGTGAACACCTAAAAGAAAGAAAGAAGGGTTTGATTGAAGAATAGAATGGGACCTGAATGCTCCTCTTTCTGGTCCTCTTGATGTGTGTGGGTTTCACTGTTCTTGGCCAAGTAATCCAAAGACAAAAGTGTAAATCTTGTCAAGGGCAGGGGTAATATGGTAATTTCCTTCATCTTTGAATTTCAATGTTTGTCCTTTTATCATCATGGGATGTTGATTTTTCTAATAATTATTTTTGGTTGGTTGTTTGGTGTTTTTTACAGCCTTCTTGGTTTATATATTTTTACATTTTGTTGAATGATTTAATGTTGAATGAGCAAGAGATTTTTTAAATAGAGTGAAAAATGAATTATAATTGTTTAGTAATTTTTTGCGATGAAATTAGGGCGCTGAATGGTTAAGGGAGGCCTAGGATACAAAATCATTCAGAATGTTTTAGAACCATTAAAAGACAGACTTTTTTTTTGCAAACAAGATTCACTACTTAACGATTGAAAGGTTGCCTCTTAATAGAACTATTAAGAGGTAAACAAACGACCCCATCTTACAATAGCCTCTTTTTTACTGTAATTTTGTTGGTTTTTCTTAATAAATGTTGTTGTCTTTTAAAAAACGTGTAAATCAGACTTAACAAAAAGACTATGGGTGTAGTTATTTTGTTTTATTTTTATATTTTTAAAAGCTTATATTTTTTTTTAACATAAAATACACCAAAAATAGATATATTGATGACAATATTTTTGGAATAAACAGTCAATTTTTTAAAGTGTACAAAGAAATAGTTGAGAATTTTATGGTAACCACTTTTTATCATATAGTCAACTAATCTGTGAAGTTTGTAAATTAATCAGATAAAAACATGTGGATTACGCTAAATTCGTTGAAGAAAAGGGTTTTTTTGCGAAATTTTGAATTCTCAACTTTATGGAGAATCAATGCGACTTTTTAGGTTGTGCGTATTATCCGACAAAATCCATTGATTTTGCAAATTGGCAACCTTGTTTAACGAAATTAATGGCTACTTTTTATAATTCTTGAAAGATTGACTATTCCATTTTTTGTTATATTACTAGGGTTAAAAGTTACTTATTTATTTGAAAATGTTTATCAGTTGTTATCAATTATTTTATAAAATTCAAACATATTCTAAGTTATATATATATATATATATATAGAGAGAGAGAGAGAGAGAGATGAGTGATCATATGAAAACCGCTTTCATTTGTGTAAACCGTGCAAACTACCTTCATCTGTCGATTTCATTGTTTAATCTTATGAAATTTTTTCATGAAATTGTTTAATCTTGTGAAATTGTTTCATATAATA